TTCATATTAATTACTTGAATTTTAGATATACCATAGTTAAGATAGAAATTGAAAATTAACAAAAGTAACAATATGATTAAAAATAAACTTAAATGCTTGTAGCAAAAAACAATTATTATTATTATTATTATTATTATTATTATTATTATTATTTAACATTGTCACATTTACTAGTACTAGTAATTAAGCACATGCATTGCATGTGAGAAAATTTTCTTCATATTAATTACTTGAATTTTAGATATACCATARTTAAGATAGAAATTGRAAATTAACAAAAGTAACAAYATRATTAAAAATAAAMTTAAMTGCTTGTAGCAAATAACAATTATTATTATTATTATTATTGAATTTTGTATTGCATTTTTATCATAAATAAAATTAACTTTTTTTTTAAATTATTTTTATTTCATATGATGAATATATAAAATAAAAAATGTTCTCAAATGTTTTCGACAAAATTCTGTATGTTTTCATTTTTGGTGTTCTATCTTTTCTTAAATATTTATTATTCAATTATGATATCATGAGTTTCTTTGAAAAGTTGGATGATTAGTTTTAAATTAAGGAAATTATAGTCGGAGTTGACTGTACATTTAAAATTAAGCTACAAGTTGGCCCATAAACCAACAAAACTCTGACAACTGGCTCTACATTTCAAATTATAAAAACCCTCGCCATATCATCAGAGCCTTATGTGGTTGTTGCTAACATGGGACTCTTAATCCATATTGGACACAACAAAAAGCTTATACCAAAATTGCCCTTTAATGTTGAGTGATTGGAAAATAAAAAAAAAAGGTTTTTAATTTCTCTCTCTCACTCTCACTCTTACTCACTCACTCTCTCACACTCTCTCACTCTCACAATCATCTTTATTTGTTCAACGATTGTGTGATTTGAAAAATAATAAAAATGGTTTTTGGTTTCTATATTTGCGTTCTCTATATCAATTTCTCTCATTCTCTCTCTACCTATCGTTCTCCCTCAATCCCTTTCATTCTCTTTCTCAGTCAATCTCTCCTTCTCCCTTAATTTCTATCGTTCTCCTTCAGTTTCTCTCCCACTCCCTCTTTCGTTTTTTTTTTTTCTATTTTCTTACACACTTATGTGGTATTAATTAGATTGTATAAAAGAATATGGGACCAACTTGGTATGGTTCAAAAATCATTACACCTATTTGATAAAAATTCACAAGAAACTCTTGGCTATGTAATTTACACAATTGGAGAATGATAGAGATTGAGGGAGAGAGAAGGAGACATTGTCTGAGAAGGAGAATGAGGGAAAAGAATGAGAGAGAAAGAGATATAGGTTTTGATTTGGCTACAGACTGAAGTTGAAAGAGTGGGAGAGACAGAGGGAGCGGGAGATCGAGAGATGATTGTGAGAGTGAGAGAGAAGGGAGGGAGATCGAGAAACAGAGGAAGTGGGAGAGAAACTGAACACCAATTTCCGGTATAGGCTTTTTGTTGTATCCAACATGGACTAAGAGTCTCATGTTGGCAACAAGCACATAAGCCTCCGATGACATGGCATGGGTTTTTATAATTTGAAATGTAGAGCTGGTTGTTAAAGTTTTGTTGGTTTATAGACCAACCTGCAACCTAATTTTAGATGTACAACCGACTTTGACTATAATTTTCTTTTTAAATTATATATTTCTTTTACATTATATAAAATAATTTTTACTTATCGCACTTAATTTTTGTTTGTCTTTGGTATCATTTGACTCAATACACTAACCCACCATCTAAAAAGAAAACTATATTGATTTCTAAGTTGACATTAAATTTTTGTATTACATTTCCATTATTGATAAAATTATTTTTTATGTATAAAACTTATTTTTGTTCAATATAATGAATGCATGATACTAGAGATGTACCTAATCTTTTATTTTTTATAAATATATAACATTAAATATGTACCCAAAATTTTCTTTACTTTTTTAATACTTTTGTGATTATTCGTATTTTCTATTATTAAAAATTTGATTAATTGATTATGACATCATTTCATTTATAGGTGGATTTTAAATTTGGCATTCCATTTTCACCATTAATAAAAATACTTTTTACATTTCCTAGTTATTTATTTTAAATTTTATTATTTAATTATGACATTATTTATCAATCCATTTGACCCCAAATGGTCAAATTGCTTGGCCACCATTAGGAGGGAAGAAAATGGTTTGTTTTCAAATTACTTTTCAAAATATTTATTTTTATATTATTAAAATTAATATTATGGATTTAATTATAATAATTTAATGATGAAAAAAAATATATCTTAAACATAGGATTTAATGAGAGAGAATAGGAAAATATTTTTGTTTCCAATTGGTTTTAAATTTTACATTCCATTTCCATCATTAGTAAAAATATTTCTTATTTATCATAACTATTATTGTTTAATATGTATGTTAAAAAATGTTTCTAATTTTTTTAATTTTATTATTTAATCGTGGCAACATGGATTAACCCATTTGATCCAAAATGATTTATTTCTTATCACCACCTAGATGAAAAGAACTATTTTTGTTAGGTAGATTTTAAAATTATAAGCTTTTATGTTATTGGAATTATTAATTTTTTCAGTATGGATTTAATTAATAGAACTTAATAATTAGAAGATACAAAACTAACTTAAATATATGATTCAATGAACATGAATACAAGTTAATAACTCAAAATTTTGATTTAATGAGGGAGAATTGAATGCATTGAATATCTTTAAGTTACATCTTTTCAACTCATTTAATATTAAGAACTGATTACCCTATTTTCCCTCACTATTTTATTAAAAAATTTAAATATAGAGGGGTAAAATTTGTCCTTAGAAAATTCCAGAAATATTCTTAAAGCCATTCATACTTTTTAAAGTAGTATATGTATGTATTTGGGAGAAAGATTGAGATATAAGAGACTGAGGAGAAATGAGAGATCTAGGAGACAGATTCAAGGAGAAGCGGAGGAAACTTCAAGATAGAG